GGGGAGCGGGCATAATAGATTTTTGTTAAATAATACTCATATTTGTTATTATATTGTGTATTATTTTTGTTGTGTATACATTATAGACCTTCTACCCAAAATATTGCATAATTCTAAGATAAATATTTACATCAATTTTGCCAAATAAAGGAAGGTAACAAACGAAAACTATAGGCCTTTGCGGGGGATGGCCCCTCTGAATCCGCCATTGACCCATGCATCCTGAAAACGCACCCAGGTGTCGATCGCAGTGTGCAGCGCGGAGCTCCCGGTTCACCCACCGCGGCCCTCCAACGCGCCCGCGACCCCGCGCAGCGGCGGCGAAGACTCCCGTAGGCGGCGGGCGGCGACACACATTTGGGCGCGCCCGACCTCGTTGCACCGCGGCCCCCGCGCCGCCATCCGCCGACGCCTCCGCCAAACGCACGCTGGCTGAGGCAATCCCCCGCCTTCCCAAGATAACTCCCCGCGTTGTTCTAGCATTTTCTCGTTTTTCATGCTAAAATGTTTGTTTTCAACTCAGTTATTGCTCATTCATTATTTTAAATGTTTCATTATTCGCAACTTTCTAGAATATTTGTATTGCGGATGTATGGCCATCAATTAGGTGGTCATGGATAGAGGGTACTGCAAATTACTTATAAACACTAAAAAGTCTAGGTTTTGGTGAAGATGAGGTTTGTGGGACCTCATCTTCAGGCTGAGTTCCTTCGAGATCCAACGTACCTCGAAATGTAGCTATTGGTGAGAGGTTTTTCAACCCGTGAGATTTTTAATATGAAACAATATTGCGTAGTAAAATATCTTAATAACATAAACGTTTCCAAATAATTTTGACTTTTTGGTGTACATCACGTAATTTACAGTATCCTTCATTCATGTCCGCCTAATATATGGCCAAATGCCCACAATAAATGTACTAATTAATAACTGTTTAATAGTGTGTGCGTGTCAATTACATCACAAAAGTTAGATTGAAAAGGAATTGCTTTCTTTTCCGGGAGAGCCCCTCCTCAAAGATTCTAATTAGAGCCCACCATTGCGCACAATCTACCAGAAAACGTCATGGTTAGATAAATGTAACCGACTTTCATTGACACATGACTAACTCACTTGTTCTCACCTCTTGCTATCGTGTCAAAACTCCTCTGTTAGTGATTTCGGAATGTCGTTCTGAATGAATGAGTCGAAAATCGTAGCCACTCTAGGAAACTGGGACCATGCGCAAAGGTGCATCTTGCAAAGAAAGAATTCTCGCGGGTCGAGGCGTATTTCTCCTCGTGAACGGTAAATAGTGGTTTCAGGCGGCCCAAGCGACTAGTTGCGGTTGACGCGAACCGATTTCACCCTCGGCTGAGCGAGTTGTTACATTGTTAGCAATGCTATAAAATCAAATCGTGGCGTAATTCGTGTAGCGATGCAAATACATTTTCGATTCCTCAGAAGCGTGCTAGTTTTTAAATGCTGCTAATCACACTGGTGGAAAAAAATGGATTACGGTAAATGCATTGCACATTGCGTTGAATGCACATTGCATTGAAATGTGGGACAAAAGCTTTTGAAGAGAAGAATCGAGAGGACATCTGACACAGAGTATATTAACTACTCGTATGTCTATTTTATAATACATTTTTAGCATAATGAAACGCTTTACTTGTAAACATTGGAACTTTAGATGCGTAACTCGCACAATTGAGGAAGCAATTGTTGACATGTTTTTCTGTAACACGAGGCTGAATTTCAAGTATGGGAATTATTGATGATGATGATTTTTTCCTATGACTTTTCATTTACGATTTGACTTGTGTCTATGTTGCTTACTAGTGTATGACCATCTTCACATTTGAAAAACATTTTTTGGACATCGCGAGAATTACTATTTTAAACATTACGTTTATTTCAATTGAAATGATTGTTTAAGAGGATTCTTGTTATTTTGTTCAAAGAAAATATGCATTTTAATTGAAATACTACTTCTATAATATTGTGAAATTTCTGAACTTTTCGAAATAGACATCTTGTAAAAATGATTATTTACATTTTTCGTGTAACTTAACACAACAATATTTTGGAATTTGCGATGTCCCATCTACAAAATATTTGCAAGTCAATACAATTGCTGTTGCAATTGCTGTTACAATTGCTTACAACAGCAATTGTAATGCAATTGTTGTCAATACAATTGCATTACAATTGCTGTTGTAAGACGTAGTGCATAATTATGTCACATAAAACGTCGAAGCCTTGAGCGTCGTAAAACACGAAGTTCTCAAACTGAAGGACGTGACCTAGAACGAGAAGTGCCGGCGCCATCCGTAGCCGGCTGGAGGCAGAGGCGGCGCCGGCGGAGGCGGAGGCGAAGGCGAAGGCGGTGGCGGTGGCGGCCGCTTGCTTGAGCGGGCGGGCGCTAGTTACAACTGAAAGGGTTAACCCCATCGATCGTAACCTCGAACGAGGCGTCAACTAGTGTATGACCCATTTCCTTGGGCCATTTCCAGCCGCCTTTTGACATGGACTCAATTGTTCTGTTTCAGCTACCGCGCTGTTAAAAGAGAAGAGCCCGGAACCTATCGATGAAGAGTCCAGTTTGCCGGTAAGTTCCTATGGTAGGCTCTGGACGAGTTGGTACAGAGTAATCGCGTACTTTTTAATGAACAACGTTTTTTATCATATTTCCTTCTATTTCAATGGCATACCTATTCCCATATCTATAAGGACGATTCTGCGGAAAAAATCAATGCATTTTTCCAAAAGCTTAACATTTCTCAAACAATGGAACAAAGACGTAACTGATAAGAAAGCGAAAGAGTGTAGAATGGTCAGAACTATTGCTGAAACGTATTACATCTGCAGAGATAATCTTTTTTGTCCTGCTCTGCGTGAGGGAAGTTACATCGTTATTGAAATATCACGAGATTGTAACCTCATTTGAAATGAACAACAACGCATCAGTTGATTGTGTGATGTTAGTAAAATATACTCCTGTTGTCGGTAGAACAATGTCACAGGTGTCTTCCGTTAGGTATCTTGCGAAATGAGGAGTAGGCAATTTACAGCGGAATAATGCCGTAAATGTACTATTGTGTCATTTTTGCTAAGCATTCAATCGAATACTATTGTCTCCTTTCTTCCATGTGACATTGCTTACCCGACTGACTGATAAAAATCCTCTCATAATTGGTAATTATGAAAAAAGGTTTCAGGAGGGCAATGACAAAACATTTCAGGAGAACAATGACACAATTGTAAGAAAGGGGGTATTTGCCAAGGTTAATTCCACAAAGCTTCTATTAAAAATGATACCTAATAAGATCTTGGTGAAAAGTAACATTTGACCAAGGTCCAAAGCGCCATGGCTGGCTATAATGTTGGTTCAAAGTATTTTATATAAGAATTTTTGGTTTCTCTGTAAAATTCCATTTGGCTGAGCGACATAAAAGCGAGCCTGTCTGTACTTGGCGCGACAACCCGCAAGCGGGCCAGGGCCTACCAGCAGCGTCCCGGCCTCGCGACCATGGGTTTAAGGGATACGTGTTGTTGGCACGAAAGCTTCTCTACGCCGTATTCTGGTCTTCTCAACCTGAGAAGTGTGTTTTCTCATAGTCACACAGCAACACGTACTGAGACATTGCGAGGAAAACGCACACGTCAATCCTGCCCGACCGGGAATCAGACCCGGGGTCGCGGCATGGAAAGCGAGCAAGCTGGCCAATGAGCTAAACCGCGAAGGAGAACAGCGGGTAGATTCACGAAGGAAACCAGAGTAAAGGTTCTTAATGTGTATTATTTTAAACTGTATCACGGCATTATGGACAGACAAATTTGTGTAAGATTAAATTGATTATTCATATTCATTGTAATTCGAGGCCGAAACGAGATGTTTTTTAATGAACTTTGTCCTTACAAAGACACTGCTTGCTGCTGAGGTTGGTGAATGGCAAAGTTCATAAACATTCAACATTTTGGTCGTGGGACACCCAACGATTTTGTACATACTTGTCTTTTAAGGAGTAATTTTTATAATCTTATACGTATAAGCAAGTAATGATACCTTTCTGCCAACGTACATACTTCTCAATTTGAAATATAAACAGTTGGCAGTATCAAAATCATTCATGTCATGATCATGGATCACGAGGACATTGATTGTATTCAAATTTAATGTAGTAAACAGTGTACCACGTGTACTGTGCATTGGTAGCTAATTAGTATTATCGGTCTAGTCAGAGATAACTTAACTTTACCGACAGTTAACAGAAATGGGTGTTTTAAAGAGTGAATGTTCAAATAAGTATGAACGACTGATTTTGACAAGGTGATAATTTGTTTTCCGCATTAAATTTCGCAAAAAATTAAATTGAGATCAAAACAATATTAATGAATTATAATTTATTTGGGTGATGCCTCTCTCCTCGTATTCGAAAATCGTTAATGTACCACCAATGTAAGATATAATCGTATCTTAAGATGGTTGTGCCATCGAAGGAAACAAGTCGTCTTGGAGGAGACCTTTGCTTGCAAGAAATGCATTATCTCAAGGGGAGCAAAGTGCGTACCGTTTTACTAATATGTTAGTGGTGGCATCTGTATTTCCATTCATTTATACGCAATGACTCGCCTTGCAATTTCATCCAAAGATAATGAAACAAAAAATGCTCTTTCTTATGTACAATTCATCTTCATCTTAAGAAGTTTCCAGAATTTCTAGGTACCAACCACAAATCTAAGAAGAAAGAGCTAAGATTTTGTTTCACAATAGGTGTCAAAAATTTTCTTAGCTCTTAGTAAATATAAATATATCTTCCGATTCTGCACTATAGGTGGTTTGCAACATATTCTTTAAAATGTCCTGTTTGGCCGATGATAAGTTTTGAATTTATTAAAGTATTGCACTTGTTAAAAATGATAATGTTTAGACGATTTCAAGAATGTTGGTAATAACACCATTTGTGTGTGTGTGTGTGTGTGTGTGTGTGTGTGTGTGTGTGTGGATAACGCGTATTTTAGTTTTGAATGAAAATAAATAAAGAATCGTACGAAAAGTGTTTATTTTAGAATATGCGAATGAATCAATCAAAAGCGAACAGAAAGAGAGAGGGGGAAGAAAAAGAGTTAGAAAGAATGAAAGAAAGAAAGAGAAAGAAAGAATTTTGATTATTATTTCTTTATCCGTCTCCCGAAATTCTACTCTGCAATTTGACTGACAGTTTACATAAATAGTTACGAGTAAAAATAAGCTGTTGCGTAATCATTGTTTGGGGTACGCACAGTTTTATTTAGCAAGCACGATATCTTTGAGCAAACATTTAATCGCCTTTTTTATAATTTTACGCAATCCTTAGTAACTGCTTGTAAAGATTACCGTGACCTTCGACGCCATACGTCTCATTTGTGATTAAAGAAAATGCCTACACAAAACAGTTGAGCCAATAAAGGCATAAAAGTAGGGGGAAAATGCTCTTGTCATTTCATAGAGCAAAATAAACAATTTATTCATCTCATGTGAATATTGCTGTAGTGGATTCACTTTCGTTTGTTTTGTTGTTGTTCCGTATTGTTAAATTGATTCACCTAGTACATATTTATCTTTTTTGTGCCCCTTATCTACGAATTGTAAGACTTGGGCAACGCTTTGGAGATATCCTAACAACGTACTGCTTTTGGAAGGAAATAGAAAGGTTTTTGAAATGTATTCTTGTCGTGAAGTACGAGTCATGAGCACGATACTTACGTATCATAATAATGTTTAGAATAACAAAATAAAAGGATGTATCTTCCTAAGATCGTTTTTAACAAATATCTTTTCATGTTAGATCATTATGTACATCTTTTAGTATTAGGAGTATTTACATCATGACATGTTAGAGTACATCTGAGTAATGAGTAGTAGGAGTTACAACACTGTAATTGTTGGCCATGGAGGCTGTCCGTTTGCCTAACGGTATTGCTTATTATACATTTGTTTCAAGTAATATTATCCAAATTAATTTTGACTGTAGCTGCACTAATAACCATGACTTACATCATGGAATATGACTGAGTTAGGTTCTATTAGTGATATTCTTGTTCTTGTTGATCTTCTGGCTTATTAAGTACTGTTGTTTTCCGTTTCAAATCGTGGTCCACCCACCAGGTTTGCAGACCGGTTTACGTTAACAGCACAAGGTCAGGCGTCTTGCCGTTGCTACCGTCTTATATATTGGGTTCCACTTCAGAACAATACGGGGAACTTATCTGGAAGTTCATGCAAAGCACCTTCAGTGTAACGCGTTTGGTAACAAACTTGAAAGCCGGGTCTCGGGCATGGATAGACTTACATTTTTTTAGCCTACTGCCATTAAGGGCAAGGGCCTCTTTAATGAAGTAATAGTCTGATTATTAAGGGTGAAGGGACGGTCACAAATACATCCATGCCCGAGGCGGGCCTTGAACCCGCGATCCTTCGACCCGAGATCGCCACAGCACTACTGCCTTAGCGACCTCGGCTATCCGTATAGTCTGACTTAGATTATCAAATAGTAAATAAAACACCTCAAATGAGTTTGCATGAACATGTAGTTACCTCAATGCCTGAATTCTAGCAGTTTCTAGTAAATAGATATCCAATACGCTTTCTAAGTATTTTTCCTGTATGAATGATGCTCTTATTACTTTCTATTATTTGTTATCTTTTCATTCATAACTGAATCAAAATAATATTTTGACATTACTTTCTTTTTCCAGCAACTGAAGTTCCTACTTAATATTATTTAGTTGCAATCTACTTAAACCCAATATTCAACGGATTACACAAAACATGCCACCTAGTATTAAGGATATAGATAGAGTACCAGAATGACTCACACCATTTCATATCCATCGCTTAAGGCCAGTACAGGGCAAAATATGATGTTTACTCTCGGATTGTGCGAATGCCGTCCACATCGTCTTACTGTCCTAATCAGAAGTGACATTTTAAATTACCCGTCAAATGCGTTGATTAGGTCTTCAGAAGGGGACTAACCCGATGATGAAGTAGAGAATTAGGTCTGCACTGAGACGTAAAACTGACGAATCACGAACAATAAAGCGATTGACATTCTCCACTTTGTTAACAAATATTGTCTAGGTTGAAAATTATTCGTTGTCGCTATCTTTCCGAGTGTACATGATTACTTCATGGCATTGAGAATTGTCCTTGATGAAGGATGAAAGCACTAGAGAACTTCGGAATGTGGCTTCTAGGCCAGGGGCAGATTTATCCTGCTTGTCGCCCTAGGCAAGACAAATTGCCGCCCTCAAATTTATGTTAGGAATATTTCTGAAGAACAAAAATATATAAAACCAAACATTTAATTTAATAATATATTTCGTTAATAATTTTTCTGTTTATTGCGCTGCAACATGATAATTGAAACCGCATGGCAATTAGGCGTCATTGTTCGTCAAAATCATAGTATTTATTTTATTTTTTATTTTAAATCGATCCATAGACATATCGATATTATATCTCACATACAGAAATATGTAAAACTATCCGCAGGTTGAGGCTGCGAAATGTTGAAATTGTTTTATTTCAGTCAATATTATTTAAACGATAACTTATTAAAATTA